CTCTGTATTCAAAGGAAAATAAAAAAGATGAAAGCAAGCCATAGTAGTGTACACCTGTAATCCCACACTAGAGAAACTGAGGCAGGAAGACCACCACAAGTTCAAGGCCAGTCTAAGCTACACAGCAAAAAGCCTGCCTCAATATAAATAATAAAATAAGTTCCTGAGAAACAGAAGTATCTAATAAATATTGAAAAAAAATTTTTTTGGTATAGTATCTCTGGGAGGAAAACAAAGTCCTAGGTTGACTTCTCCTCAACAATCTAAAAGGACTTAAATGGGAATGAGCAATAGAATGCATTCTTTTCCCTGAGAAATAAATGAAATACAAGACAGTAAAAAAAATAACAAAATTGGTTCTTACAACTTTTTTTTTCTCTTTCTCATTTTTTTTTTTTTCCTCTTCTTGCCCTTCCTTCCCACTCTATAAAAAATCCTTTCCTGGAGCTGGGGGTATAAATCAGTGGTAAAACAATGCTTAGGAAGCATAAGGCCCTACATTTGATTCCCAGCCCCAAACAAAATCAAAAGCTCTTTCCTGAGCTCCGGCTGGCCTGACTTAGCCTCTAACGCTCATGGATCTTTAGAAGACAATTCTTCCTATATTCCTAGGCAGGACTGCTAACCTCCAGGACCTCAGTTTCCCTATCTGTATAACGGAGGGAGAATACAATGGAGTTGGTTATCTTTAAATTTTCTTCCAACTGCTAAAAATTCACAAGACAGGTATTGATAACTACTATTAGGACATTCAAATCAAACATTGACCTATACTATTAGAAAGTATTTGTAGGGGGCTGGAGGTTTAGCTCAGTGGCATAAGTGCCTGCCTTGCAAGCAGGCAGTTGTGAGTTCGATCCGCGGTACTGATAAAAAGGAAAAAGACAAAAAAAAAAAAAAAAAAAAAGAAAGAAAGTATTTGTAATTGCTAGTACAGTAGCATCCTGAATGCTAAACAAGTAAAATTTTTCCAGGTCACTCTTAAGAACACATTAAAAGCCCTGAAGTTATTATTTAACTCCCTATTAAGATGGAATGAGTTCTTTTTAAATTAGAACTTACTTTCAGGATCATATAGTTGGGGGGTTTGGGGGAGTTTTTTGTTTGTTCGTTTTGTACAAGGGATTGAATCCAGAGCCTTCATACTGGGCCACATATCCAGACTTTTTTTATTTTGAGATAAGATCTTGCTCAGTTGAAGTGGCTAGCCTTGACCTGGGAATCTTCTTGCCTCAGCCTTTCAGCATTTTGGAATTACATATGTGCCACCTAGTTTTCATTCGTGCACAAACTTCGGGGCCCAGTCACTTCACATTTTCACCAACCAAAACTGACATCTTCAAGGTTAAGCAAGCAGAGAAATGAGTTTGTAAGAGTCAGAACTGTCACTTAGCACCAAAGAAGGTTTCACGAAAGAAGGTATCTCTGTGGAAAGCCAAATGAGATCAGCTACTTCAGCTATTCGTGCTATATAACGTCTCCCTATCAGGCTGTGTATTTCTGTTGAGAAACAACAGAAATTTCATTTAAAATGACACTGTAGGAGTCAGCCATGGTGGTGCATGCCTGTAATCCCAACATTTGGGAGGCTGAGGCAGGAGGATGGTTCCAAGTTCAAGACCAGCCTGGGCTACAAAGTGAGCTCAAGCCCGGCCTGAAATGCATAGCAAGACCCTGTCTCAAAAAGATTAATATAGCTTAAAAACTGACATGGAAAGATGTTTAATATACAGTACATTTTGGAAAAAAGGGTAGAATACAAAATAACGACAGGCAATATTAATACCATTTTGGCAAAACACATACATACATAATCTACATACAAATCTTCCAAGATACAAGTTAATGGCCTTATAAGTTTTATTTAAAATCTTTTGGGGGCCGGGAATAATAGCACAGTGGCACAGGCACTTGCCTGGCAAGTGCAAAGTCCTGAGTTTAATTCCAAATACAAAAAAAGAAAAAAGAGGGCCAGGATTTAGCTCAGTTGTGTAAGTGCCTGCTTGGCAAACACAAGGTTGTGAGTTTGATCCCAGGAAACAAAAAAAAAAAAAAAAAAAAAGAAAAGAAAAGAAAAAAGGATCTTTTTGTATGTCTTTACTTACTTTTCTACAATGAACACTTATGGTTTCTGACATAACATTAATTTAAACAGGTGTTTTATATGAGCAGGTGTAAATTTATATGAGCACCTATTAATTTAAACAGGTGTTAATATGAAGGGTGGATCTGGTACCCAAACTATAACCAGATCCCTCCCTGAATCACAGCTCAGCACCCAGCAGTTCCCTTGAACACAGGCTCTCATGACCTTTGTACGCAGTGTCTGTGCCTAAGCTGAGATGGAGGTTGAGATGTTTTTTTAAAAGTATTAGCCAGTCCCGCATGGTGTCGCATTCCTCTAATCCCAGCACTTGGAGGGAAAAAAAGATAAAAATTATTAACCATCAGGAAGTACAAACTTATCACCAGATGCAACCATCATTCATCACAATGCCTAAAGGTAGTTACGGCAGCTCAGTCTACCAAAAAAAAAAAAAAAAGCATCTGAAAACTCTAATTTTTCATCTAGTAAAGGTCATACCAAAAAAAAAAAAGGTGGTAGGATTGGAGGTGTAGCTCAGTGGTAAAGTGTTTGCAGTGCATGTGCAAGGCCCTGGGTTCAATCCTAGTACCACAAAAAAACAACAAAAACCCTGCAGAAACAACAGAGTGACAGAGAGGGAGACAGCAAGATATATATTAAAGGCAATGAAGATAATATGAGTGAGGGCCGAGGATTTAGCTCAGTGGCATAAGCACCTGCCTGGCAAGCGCAAGATCATGACTTAGATTCCAGGTACAAAAAAAAAAGGTAATATGAGTGAAAGGAGTAGAAATAGTGGATGGGGCTAGGGATATAGCTCAGCAGCATAAGCACCTCACTGGCAAGTACAAAGTCATCCTGAGTTCGATTCCCAGTAACGCCCTAACAAAAAAAAGAAAGAAAAGAGAAGAGAGGATGAGTGTCCAGAAATACTGAGGGACTCTTCACCCAAGGTGAGCCTGGAGAACCTTACCAGACCTGGAACTCAGACCCATAAGCAATGCCTCAAGGCTGTTCACATGCATTTTCCATAATTTGACAGTTAACAAAGCTACATACTACACGGTTTTCTCACCTCCTCCTACCCATCTTTTAAAGAAAAAAATATCCACAGTTTAGGTGAGAGCCCTATCCTGTTATATTTTTAGTCAGACTACACTGTATTTTGAGGGCAGTGAGGGGGATGGAACCTCAAGCCTGTGCCTCCGAGTTATATCCCCAGCCCCTTAGCATCTGCATTTTAATGCAAGAAAACAAAACTGTCAACTCTTACAAGGATCTGAAAAATGCGCTTGGGGAGGGGGGTGCTGAAATCACTCCCCTTCCTCAATTATCCCTCAAAAGAAATGAATCAGGCACTGTGGGACAAGGAGTGAAAATATGTCTATCACATGTGCATTTGGTGGATGAAGAACTTGAACATTCTTGAACTCTGGCCATATTTTAGAAGATTTTCCACTTGTAAATTTAATCTCACTGAAGAGGAAAGGTTAAAGATCATCTGCCCCTTCAACCAGGTTCTGTAAAAAGACAATGAGAAACCGATGGCATTACTTAACAAATGTGATACAAGAAGGGAAACCGTCTGAAAATTTAAGATGACCTCCAACTCCGTATCAAGTGTTAACAGAGGAAGTAGTTTTTATTTGAAAACTAGAACTAAAAATAGCATCCATCTCAAAAATACTCTCCACCAGCCGTCTAGACTTTGAGGATTCTTATACAAAGGTTTCAGACCCTCTTGGCAAAAGCAGCCCCAGATCAAGATCTCTCACCGACTACCCACCTGTCTATCTTAAAGGTGGAAACTTGGGAAAAGCTTATATAGACAATAAATTTGGTAATGCTTCTGCATGTCAATGATTAATAGACGGGAGGGGGCCTTCACAAATCCAAAATGCGCAGATATCTAATTAGACCCTGATTAAAAGCTAACGCTCCAGAGGCCCTCCGCACCAGTACAGATCTCCCTACCCTCCCACCCGTGCCTCTGCAGAGTGGGCTTCCTGGATGCGCCAAGGTTCTACACACATTTCCATTCCACTGGCTTCCCCACTGCCGCCCGGCCCCAAGCTGAACCGCTCTCCCCCAGTTCCCCTGCACCCTTCAAGTCTTGGCTCAGGCAAGGATGAAAACGATGCCTTTCCTTTCCCATACTTATTTTCTAATACACCAGATAGTCTGCTTATATATTATATACATTTTGCTTTTCCTTTCTCTCTTCATATAAGTTCCCAGAGAGCAGGGATCTTTGTTCTGCTCACTGATGCACATCAAGAGCGTTTAGAGCATACAGTAGGTGCTCAGAAATATTTTCTGAGTGAATGAACTTCCCAGCAGCGAACTGCAGAAGAACAGCAAGAGGGGCTGAGATGAAAGAGGAAAGAAGGGTCAGGGGAGAAGTAGACATCGGCCGTGTCCGGACCGAGCCATGTTCCCCCCGACACCAAAGCTGGAAGGCAGGAGGCGGTGCACCGAGTCCCGCCAAGGGCGTCAATGGCACTCAGTAGGGGCAAGCAGCTGGGACAGGAGCTGGGACCCGCCAAGGACTTCTCCAGACCTCCCGGGGACGGCCGGCACAGAGCGGACGCTCGGCTCAACGGGTCCTCACGGGGTTCAGACTACGCAGCCTTCGCCCTTTCCGCGGTGCCCACGGTGTGCCCAGGAGTCCCCGGCCGCAGGATCTTCCCGGCTCGGCCCCTCCCCCGGCCGCCAGGGAGCCGGGGCCAGCCTTCAGACACCTGCCCGCCCGCGCCGGGGTCCCGGCCCCAGTCTCACTCGATGAGGCTTCTGCCCGCCCCGAGGCCTTGCCCCGCCGGCCCACAGGCAGAAAGCCACCTACGGCCCGCCCGCTGAGGGGAAGGGGCTCCGGCGCCCGTGCCCCGGCCGCTCCCGCGCGACATCGAGCTCTCACCTCAGGGCGCACATAAGACACGAAGGAGGGCTTGGGCGCCTTGGTGCCGCCGCCACCGCCGACCACCCCTTTCCCCAGCATTACCGCCGCCCTGGGAAGCAGCGACCCGCGGGAACACAGAGGCGGCCCGGTCTCCAAATCGGGCCGCGGCGGCGGCCACCAGCTCTAACGGCCGGGGCTCCGCCCATCCCTAGGGCCCCGGCGGCCGCGGCTACGCCCGCATCCGGCTTCGCCGCTGACACCTTTCGCTCCGCCCACCTCCCGGAGCCCGCGTCCGGAGGCCACGCCCCGTCAGCTCACCGCGGCGGATCTGACGGCTGAACCCGCCCCATTGACACCCTCTCCACAAGGTATCTGCGGCAAAGCCCGCCCCTTTGCATCTGCTGATTGGTCAGAGGAAATACCAGCCGAGTCCCACGTGAAGCCTCTATTTGAGTGAACCTAGAGAGACGTTTCCTCTAACCAATTCAAAGAGTGGTCTCTCTGGACTTCCTGGCGATTGGATGGCGCTGATGTTACCGTCGCCCAATAATCCTACGGTCTCTAAATTGTGAGCCGTGTTGACCGCTGTCGCTTTCCCTTTTCACATCTTTTTGGTAAAATGTCTGTAGTGGAATAAATGTCTATAAAGTGTATAAACTATGTTAGTTATAAGTCCACAACAATGACCTTCAACGTTTATTATTTTATAATAATACAAAAATATGAGGCAAACCGAGCGTGGCGGCGCACGCTGGCAATCTCAAGAACTCCGGGGAAGCGGGAGCTTGATGGCAAATTGGAGCCCAGCGTGGGCAAATTTGTGCTTTACCTAGACGCAGTCTCTAAATAAAAAGTAGGTCCTTCCTCTGAGGCGGCCCTGGAATCCCCAGTATTGCCGAGTAGGAGAGAGGGCAAGGGCAAGCGGCAAGCTCAGTTGTTAACAAGCACTTAAGGAGTACGTTGAATGACCTAAAAAGTTTTGTCAGCTTCATTTTTCCAAACTACAGTTTGTTCCTTCGTCTAACAGGTATAATATCAAAAGCCCTTTTAAAAAAAAATGTCAAAAGCCTTTAAGAAACTTCTTTACCCTACCGTTTAGTCAAGAGTGCAAAGCAAATTCATTTAAATTACACCTTTGAAACCCAGCGTTGTGTTAGACATAGATGAACAGGACAGTACTCCGGCTTTCAAGATATTCAGATTTGCCAGATGTAGTAGCTCACTTCTATAATCCTACTTACCTGGGAGACTGAGACAGGGAGGTCACAAGTTCGAGCCCAGCATAGGCAAATTAAGAGCCTGTATCAAAATAAAATAAAAAGGGCTGGGAATATATGGTAGAACGTTTAGCTAGGATGCGGAAGGTCCTCGACTCAATCCAAGAACACATGCACACCTCACCATCAATCTAGTGGAAAAAGCTCCTGTACTGGCAGTTAAATTTTCAAGCATCAGGCACTATGCTAAGCATTAGCCTTATCAGTGACCTTACATTTTACCTAATTAATCTTTATGTGCTCCCCTTCCCCAAATCCACCCCAAGAAAACAAACTTGCTTGCGAAAATGGATGTGCTTGCTTTTCCAAACATAGTTTCCACGATCCCATTTTCATTTCAGGCAGTTGTATCATCCAAGTCTACCCGGTGTTAGTAGCTCTTGAGCCCCCACTGAGCTCCCTTAACCACAGTTTCAGGTGAGAAATTAAGCAAGTAATCTGCCAAAGTTTCAGAGTCACTGACAGGGCTGAAATTCCAAAGGCCAAGTTCTTAACTTTATAGTGGTATCAGTTAAGAGACAGCGCTGTGCAAATGTGATCAATTCTGTGAGAAAGCCAGTGAGACTCTATGAACAAAGATGCATACTCCTTAGAGAGATCTACACTAACAATACCACTTTCTGTTTTATAGGAGTTTTATTTTTCAAAGTAGGTTGGTGGGGCTGATTTTCACAATCTTAGTAAATGTCTGCTTTCCTTCTTTTCAAAGTTCTTTACGCATAATCTGCCACCAGTCACTAGGCTTCTAAAGCCTACAGCTGGTACAATCACTAACGACCCTCGCTGAAGGGGACTTGGGGTTTAATGCTTTGCAATTGTAGCCTTGAGCTTCTTAATAATTTTATCTTTGTGTTTTCAAGGTGAAGGGTGTTAGAACAATGGCACATGTGCAGGAGGGCTCGTGTTGGAATTTTATATCCAGCATGATAGTATTAAAAGGTGGGTGAAAAAGTCTTGAGGGAAGAATGCTCATGAATGAAAATATTGCCTTTATAAGACAAATGGGAAGGCAAAGAGAGATACAGTAAGGAAAATTCTGTCTTCAAAACAAAGCAGTACCGACCAGATACAGATTCTGCTGGTGCCTTGGTTTAGAACTTTCCAGCTTCCAGAACTGTTTACAAATAAGTTTCTACTATTTATAAGATAGCAGGTATAAGGTATATCATTATAGCAGCATGAAGAGACTGATATGCTCCCAGAAACAGTTGAAAACATGCTTTCTGTTAGGTGTGGTGGTGCATAAATATAATCGCAGACTTAGAAGGCTGAGGCAGGAACATCACTGTTAAGTTTGAGGTCATCCAGGCTACATAATAAGTTCAAGGCCAGCTCAAACTACATAGTGAGACCTTGTTGCAAAAAGCCAAAAAAAGAAAAAAAAACCCAAAAAACAAAAATAAAACAACTGCTTTCTTTAAGGAGCAGTAAGTAATGGAATGAAGACAGAGGCTAAAATCTCTTTCCAGGACTGCCATGGAGGCTACAAGTATATGTGTATTACCCCAGCATTCTGGGAGGTTGAGGCAAGAGGATCCCAAATTCAAGCCAGGCAACTTAGTGACTTAACTGAGACCTTATGTTAAAAATAAAAATTAGGGGCTGGGGATTTAGCTCAGCGGCATAAGCACCTGCCTTGCAAGCAGGCAGTCGTGAGTTCGATCCCTGGTACCGATAAAAAAATAAAATAAAATAAAATAAAATAAAATAAAATAAAAAATAAATAAAAATTAAAAGGGCCAGAAATATAGCTCATTGGCATAGCATCTGCCTGGCAAGCACAAAGTCCTGAGGTTGATTCCCAAAATAAAATAAAAATTAATTAAAAGTATATATATAAGGGCTGAGCTACAGCTCAGTGTAAAGGCCTTGGATTCGGTCCCTAGTACTACTGTAAAATAAATAATAAAAATAAAATCTGGCGTCTACGCCCATACCACCCTGAACGCGCCCGATCTCGTCTGATCTCGGAAGCTAAGCAGGGTCGGGCCTGGTTAGTACTTGGATGGGAGACCGCCTGGGAATACCGGGTGCTGTAGGCTTATAAAAAAATAAATAAATAAATAAATAAATAAATAAAATCTGGCACTTGGGAAGTTGAAGCAGGAGGATCACCACGAGTTCGAGGTCAGCCTGCACTACATAGTGAGCTCAGGCCAGCCTGAACTGCATAGCAACATCCTGTCCCTAAGTAAGTAAGTAAATAAATAAATAATCTGTTTCTATCTTGCTTTTAAGGCTCTCCAGCTACCAACATATTTTTTATTGGCTCTTTAGGGTGTGGGTCAAGTCTCCTCAAAAACAGTCTTTCCCAACCAGGGCTGGGGATTTAGCTCAGCGGCACAAGCTCCTACCTGGTAAGCATGAGATGAGTTTGATCCTCGGTACCCTCCTAAAAAAGAGTTATCCTAACTGAAAGATTCCTGTCATACTGAGGTTAAATAACCCCCCATCTACTAATAAATACAGATGATATCCCTGCATGCCAGAACACAGGCAAACCCACTGTTTCCCAGAAAGCCATACTTCCAGACGGGCCAACATTTTATTCTGACAAACAGTTGGAGCCTTCCAATTTGCATTTCCTTCTCTTTGGAGTCAATTAAAGTAGCCTATGTGTGTTTCCTACTCAGCTTTAACAGGTGCCCAGCACATAGAAGAAATTCAATACATATTATCACATGAATAAAGTGGTAGTAGATGAAAAGTAGGAAAGCAAGGTATGTATCTTTTTCTCTCCAAGGATGAAAATACATGTTACTTAGTAGCTGTCATGTATTAAAAACTAGGGGCTGGAGATTTAGCTCAGCGGCACAAGCGCCTGCCTTGCAAGCAGGCAGTCGTGAGTTCGATCCCTGGTACCAATAAAAATGAAAAAGACCAAAAAAAAAACAAAAAACAAAAAAAAACTAGTGGGCAACTTAACACCAACTGAATTAAATCAGCAGGGTGTTAAGTGTAGAAGGTCCTCCTGGGACCTGGAACCTCGTTGGTTCTCCTGGGGACTTCATCATGACTAGCTTCCCCCTTAAGAGTTCGACCATTATCAGAGCTCGCGACTTTGTTGGTGAGAGTGGTTGCGGTTCACTTTGGGGGAGCTTTGGTCCTAACATCGAGCATCACTTTCTGGCTCTAGATGGGAACATGTGTGCTGTTTAAGCTCCAGGAGAAACTTGTCATGCTGGCTTTCTGTCATGTACTCGACAGTTCTCATTGTCAGAGGAGCTAGGGACCAGCCAGCTGAGGATGGCTGTGGTGCCTTTTAGGGCAGCCCTGATCCTTATTTTGAGTATGCCTTCTCAGCTCCAATGTAGACCCCTTAACCTACTGGCACAGCTCCTTCACCCCGCTGGCATAGACTTTCTAGCTTCCACGGCTGACCTTTGGGTCTTCCCAGCTCAGATTCATAAAACAGACCGGCATGAGTCCTTCTTGTGGGCTATAGACGTCCAGTTGGACTTGTTAGAGGGATTGTTATGGGCTCTAGGTCTTCGTCTGGACTCATGCAGGACATTGCTGTGCCATCTAGGCTCTTGGCTGAATATTCTGGGTCTTTAGTGTTGTGGACAGATTTCCTGTACTTTCCTGCATTTAACTCTGAGTGCCAATCATAAAATAATATAAATTCTGTGTCCTGATTGTAATTGTTCTCCTCACAATCCCTAACTACAGCAGTAACTCTTACCAAATTTCAACTTTCATCAAGTGGTTTGGTGTTTTCAGAATTTCCTCTATTCAGTGGAAACAGAAAAAATCCTTGGTTTATTGATGCAACAAAGAGTCTTCAATCTCTTCTCTGAAGATAAAGAGAAATAGAATTAAATTAAGAAGGACTTGGAAGGCAAGGGGCAGAGGGCTGCGGCTGTAGCTCAATGATAGAATGCTTACCTACCATGTGCAAAGTCCTGGGTTCAAATTCCAGCACTGAAAAAAAATCTTGGATTCTAAAACTTGTGGTGCCATAACGAAGGCCTGCTAGCTCATACTGATT